ATAGTGAATGCCTTGCTCACTTCATCCTAATCCTGGCCCACAGATGCTGTTATTGCCTGATAACTCCAACTCGATTAACTTTTGCTCCAGAACGCCTATTTTCTAAAAGGAATACACTTTTGCCTAAAATTCTAATTGTATGGATGTACACAGAGAGCACAAACGCTCTTTTCCAACTTGCTTCTGCATTTAGAAGCATGGTAGGGCCTACCATGGGATGATCTCTGGGTCAAATTCTATACCTAATTTTCATGAAGATGATGTGCTGTTAATAGAAAGTGAACTCCCCTATTACACAGATTAGACTAAATTTGACTAAATTAAAAGTAATTCTTAATTAAGGCTGAATCTGAATCTCTGTCAGGGATATCTCTCTGCGTCATTCAAGATATTTGACTTGGTACATCAGGATTGTGATGGCACTCTTTTTATTAGGATTTCCTGAGATATATAAAAAAGCGTAGAATATATGAGGGGAACAGTGACAATCTGGGAAGACTTTAAATCCCACCCTTATTTTAGAATGGTGGCAGGTACCATTACATACAATTCCCTCTGTGATCTGCTTAATTCCTGTGTTGGCGCAGCCATGTGCAGATGTATAGATTTGGCCAGCTCCAATACAGTGGTTCTCTGCACTGAAAGACACATTATAGTTCCTAGCTTGGAACTGGGACACTTTAACAAGGAAAGATAGAGAACTATTCATAGTTATGCCAGGACTATAAACCATGACTATCCTGGGCAAACCAGGATATATGGTCACCCTACTCTTTGTTATTGTCATCATTTTCAAAGGCCTTTTAGATCCCCTCCAAGCATTACCCTGTTAATTTCCTCTTACTGACAAAAACCAATGATCAAATGGAGCATGTGAATTCTAACCTCCATAAGAACCTCCATGGCTTGGCTTCCCACTGACAATCAGTGGAACCATCTGCCTTCTGGAACACAAGAACACCTCCAGCTCTGTTTAGACCTCTAGCGGAGAACCATTCTCTATGGCCATAATGGCTTCCATCCCAGTTAATGCCTTCATTGTACAAAGGACCCTATATTCCTGGTGTTACTAAGGCTAGATCCAGTTTCTGGCTGAATGGGAGGGATAAGACCTGGAAGATCCATCACACCATCACTTCCATCATGTTCTGGAATATGCCACAGCCTTCCAGGGGGCAAACGTGGAGAAATCTCAGTCCATAATTGTTTTAACCATAGCATGCCCCACTTCCTCATGCACCAGAAATCTTGCAGAAGGAAAACTGTAGCCCTTTCCCCTTGTTCATGCCCTCAGTTTTGTTAAATCTATTTTTCCAAACCTGTTCCTAACTTAAAACTCCAATCTCATTTCTACTCTATACCTCAATTTGAGACAATTCAGTGACTCTCCAGTTTTATTGCTGGTTTGCCTGCTTCTAGTTTTCTTATCTTTATAGCTTGAGCTTTGGTTCTGATTTCTCAGCTATAAACTTTGATAACTCCCTTGATCATGAAGTACACTCTCCTTTGACTAAGAGCTTCAGGCAACCTTGAGCACCTTCGATAGATGTCTTTTGTGGTTGACCTAGAATGGGTTCCCCTGCTTTGGCACCATGTACCATGGGCCATGCAACCCCCCTTTGATCAAGAACTCAATCTAGCAAACAGTGTCTTATAATACTTTATACTATCTTTTGCCCATTTATTTAAAAAGTGGCTTTTGCCATTGATACTTAATATGTTTTGACATTTCTAGACTAATGTTTAAAAGCAAATGCAAGTCTATGGAATCGTATCCATGCTATCAAGATGAAGAAACTAAGATTGCTTTTGCTGACTATACTGTGACCTATCAAGATCAGCCACCAAATACTTGGTTTATAGTATTCAGGTATAGTCTATGTACTGGCAAACAATGTCTTTAAATGGCACACAATATTCATATTTGTAGAGTTTTATTTATGATAATAATGAAAGTCTTAGCTTCTAGGTTGCTTTCATGATTTAGTTAAAATTCTTCCAAAGTTGCTATCCTTGAATGAGATATTATATAAATTTTTATTTATGTTTCTTTTATCAAAATATAAAGAATGTTAATTATTAGAACTTTTATGTGCATGATAAAAATAATATAACACATTAATATGCTTTTAGTATAGAAAGATATTCTTTTATTTCTAAGCAACAGCATATTAGGTAAAAGTCACAAATTACTTATAAAATGGAATTTATTAATGGAGTTTGCATTTACATGAAAATAGCATAGTAATAGTAGTTTTTAAAAGAAAATAATGTGTACCTTACACTTATTTGGAATTTTAGACTTTTTTTTAAATTTCTTGGCATTAAGCCTAATTTCAGACTTTCTTTAAGATCCATGTCAAGGGAAAGTTCATGCTTTTGTAATTACAGAGAAACATTTTTGGTTCCTCAAGATATGATTTTGCTTCCCAAAGTATATACTACACTTCCAGTCTGTATGCTACATGTTGTTAATAATGACACAATGGAACAAGTGCCAAAGGTGTTCCAAAAGGTGGTGCCTTATCTTTATACCAAGAATAAGGTAGGTGTAAAGTTTGTTCTCCCCATATAATAGAATGGCAGTGAAAACCCTTCGGTTTGTAGAGGGGTAAGGAGAAGGTAGGGCAGAGGTGTTTTCAATCTACTTAACAAGAAAAGGGCCCCGGTCTTTCCTTACAGAAGTCCCATTTATTTGACAACATGAGATACTTAAAGTGAATGCTAGAGTATTCGTTACCTCTCAGCTCTCTTTTTTTCCCCTCCTCCCCAAAGAAAATATGACAAAAAAAAAAAGCATTAGAAGTTCTAATTATTGAAATCATATAAGTCCTTAAAACATAAATGGATCTAAAGAGCTCATTTAGTCCTATCTCTGAACCAAATGACTGTCTCTATTTCACACTGGGTTTTTATTCTACTGCACTGTATTTCAGAAAATTGAGATTACACAGCCACCCGCCCCCTCACACCCCCATAGTCTTTTCTAGGGCTACATAAATCCCTTCAGGGGCCAGAAGCACTTGATATGTTACTCCTGCAGAATGATAGACTCTGATCCACCATGTTGTCTCTCTGTTTATTTAAATCCCATACTCATGTTTTAGGGAATCATGACAAAGGATAATGTGTACCTGGACTGGAAACCAAAAGACCTCTTTTAGCTCTGATCTTCTATTCTTCAGCTAGATAGCTTTGAACTTCATTTTTCTCTTTGAGTTATGTCTGTACTTGACTTCTGAGGCTCATTTCAACCTTTGATTCTATACGTTATTTTGAATGAATTAAGACATACTTATCTAATGGATACTGGTTTTGTAGGAATGAAATACAAGTTAGAAACGTGTTATCTCCATAAAAAACCTAAAACATTTCTGGACTGTTTTAGAGATTTTATGAAATTTTTAAAAATCAAAGCAATTACATTCTTGATGAAATCGTTT